TCTCCATTTCAGAAGAAAAATAAATATATAGAGTAGAACCATATAACTGACTTAACAGTATCAGCGAAAATAAACCTGAAGCTGAATGGGAAAAGACAAGGGAGAAGTAGCCCCCTATAACGAGAGGGAACGAAAATAACCTAAGAGTACCTAAAGCAAGGTTAACAAAGAACAAAAGAACCCGCAGGAAAGCAAGGTCAACACAACAGAAGACACCTACGGTAACATATGAGGTGGGATATTCACCGGGCCCAATACCGCCTCCAATAAGAGAGGAGTTGATTGCAAACATTCGTGTGTCAAAATACACGCAATTATTCACACTTATCGAGAAGGAAATATAAGTACGAAATTTCTTAAATATATTAATTGGTATCCTAAATTTTTTCCTGTTTGTATTGAGCGTTATGGTTTGAATTACAAACTCTACAATATTATTTGTTGTCCTAGGATGTAATATCCTCTGATACCCTTTGTGATTTTATACATAAAAATATATAATTGTTTAAAATATATTTATTTCTTCTTTGAAGTTTTAAAAGATTCTTTAAAACGTATTTTGTTCTTGTAAAAATATAACACAATTTCTAATGTGAATTCTGGAGGGGTTAAAACATTCAATGTGTCTACGCTTAGTGTAAAGGTGTCCCTTGTTGTCGCATCCCACATAGTAATCATAAGATATCTATGTTGACTGCATGGGCCACTAGTGGTCAAAGGTCTGACATGAAGGTTGTGTTGTTACCTGTATATTCTGTGTTGCCTTCATTTCGAATATAAGGATTCCAATTCTTTGGATCGTATTACTCACCTGACTTTGATTTTACTTCTTTCTGTTCCTTTGGTGATTCTGATCAGGAAGACTATGAGAATAATTTCTTAAGTTTGAAGAATCCTCCAGCTTTTTCTGTATAGCACTATTCTGGCAGTAGTGAATCTCCTTAGAAATGAATCCATTAAATCAAGCGCTTTGTTACTCATGTAATTTGTGGCGAAGTTGCAACAAAGTGTTATATATAATTCCAAGGTTAATGGTTTATCAATCACGCGTAACACAATTTGTTAAAGAAAAATGCACCACACGGACAAAATTATATATAATTTTAACGGAGACGGGTTTGACTCAGAATGGAAGAAGAAGAAATTAACAAATATTCCTACATAAAATAAAGCTTAAGCAAGAAAGTAGAAAAAACAAAACAGGCGGAATGTACAAGAACATATAAACGTGCAAATCCTACACATAAGCTTTGAGCGGACCAGCAAATAGGTGCAGAAGAAGAATAACGCATCTGCAGGAGTCACGCTACATTTAGGACAAGTGCGCGAATTCTAATGTGACGTCATCCTATGTTCTTTTAAAGGGTTATTGGCAAATGACATTCCAATTTGACTGAATTTATTCGCCAATGGCAACTATATTACTTTAAATTGAAAGTTTTCATCAGGCACACCTCGGCCTCAACTGCACTATATGTGCAAATACACTGCCTTCGCTATAATTCCAAATTTATTGTTCCATTCCTGCAGCGTATAGATGTTCTAAAAAGATAGAATATGGAATTAGTCATATTCCTGTGAATTGCAAAGTTTAAGGATAACAAAAGAGTTGACTCGGCTTCCATATTTGTGCGCATTGTTAACAGCTATACTGGCAGCGTTGTATCCTAGGCTTCTTGGGTTCCACCATGTCCTATCTTCCATAGTACATGTAAAGTATATTCTAACATCTCGCACCCATGATATCCTCCGTTATGGTGTGCTCATCTTCAATGCGATACTATATATATCTATAACATTGAAGCAAAGAACAGTTTTAGTTGTCGGCCTAAGAATGTTCAATATCCCCAGTTTATCCATTCATCAAAATTTTTATCGACACATGCGTTGCCGATATGTCGTCATTATTATACGATTTATGCCTTCATAAATTGATTCATACAGGGTGTAATTAATGTATTGAAGGTATTCTTCTTTATTCAAAATTTATAATCATAAAGAATATATCATATCTTTAATACGTCAAGTATTTATGGATTAAGCTGGAACAGCAGTGTAGGGGTGTTATAGAGGCATATAAGTCTCTTAGTTAATTTCATCACCTGTTAGAGAATGAGTATTCTCCTGTTTCATCTTTACGCTACTTCTGTTTCTGTCATTTTAACTTTTAACGGTCTTCTAATGAGTATGTTGATCGCTGCCTCTTTGTTTATTTACAATTCATTGCAGGACAGAAGCTGATAATACGAGAACACTGTATGCTATTATGGGGATAGTCACAATTTGGGTTATTTCCCGTTATTTTTTTCTTCACTTATCTATTTCTGGTAATATTTCAAGTACTGATGTCCAAGGATGGCATATCTAGAATTATATATCCTCCTTTTAAACAGTGAACAGGAAAAACCTAATATATTTGTTATAATCGAATCCGTATTGAGGAATGGCGTCATTATAAATAATATAATTAGTTGTGTATAAGTGTTTATATTGTTATATCTCTTATATTGAAACAGAATCTATTTATAACGGCAATGGTAGAGAAATTTGGACGCCAACAGAAGGAGATTATATGATACAATAATCAAAGCATTACTTTATCGTCATGAGATTAAATATGATACAGAACAAAGGTAGCTCATTATTTAATAAACTTATGAAATTGTTAAATAAGGAAAAGAATATTATCAATGTCGTATTCCACTGTCGCTTAATTCTCCAGTAATGAGTGTATAAACCACCTAAAGGAAGCTAAGGAAAGTCAGGTAGTTAGATTAATGACTTTACCAAAGTCACACTAATCTATAATCAGAGGGGACCCCTAACCAAGGGGGTTTCTACGACAAGTCTTATAGATTATTAGGGAATCTATAAGAGACTCCTTTAGTCCCTATGTATATTTATCCACTAGTAATGGACTCAACCATGTGAGCCTTCTTATACATGACCTTCTTGCGTCATGCTTATTGTGAATAAAACTTCAGCTTTCTTATGATTCATATATTGAAGGAAGCATAATAATGTTAACTAATGTGAGAAGTCCATATGTCATTTATACAGATATCTACCGCAAATATTAATATTAAATATTCCCTAGATAGCATTGTGTGTAGACTGATAAAATTAAGTAAATAATACCGTAGTAATTATGAAGTCTCTGAGATAGATTAACCATACTGCTAAGAAAGTGTTCATATATTGAGGCTTACTGGATGGACGGGCAGAGCAGCTAACTGTATACTGGCGAAATTGTAGGTTTCTTATTGAATATGTCACGTTTTCAAAATGTAATTAAGCAGAAGCAATAGAGCACAACTTAAGGATAAAGGTTCTAATAGTTAAATAGTTTTTACAGCCGGTGTACAGCAATCACTTCACCTTATATATTAACTAGTCTGCATAATCCTTGTGCCTAATCTTATACTATATTAAGGGTTTGTGATAAATATATTTATTCCATAACTGCCAGATATCCATGAATACAATTTAACAACAAGAAAATGATTCTTACATCTATAAGAAACAACTGAGGATATGTTATATTATTTGTCATCTTAACGACTGATTATTAATTCGAGTAAGATTCAAAACTGCAGGGTGTCCGAGAGAATTAAGTCATAAAGAGGTGGGAAAAGCAACTTATAATAACGATGATCAGAGGAACTATGAATTAAACTATATAGTATTAAGGATTAGACGAACAACACAAGGAAACTAAAGGAAAATGATATCCAAATGGAATATTCTCCATATTATAATAAGAATAGGAAACTCAAACAGCAATACGCAGGCAAATTTATACTCATCACCAACGTGTCTGATTAGGAGAAATGTGCAACTACCAAATAGCCAAGGTATGCCAAATATATCATACTATTAAAAATAATGAAAACCAAGAATAAGGAAGGATGAATAAACTGCTTAAGGATTATTATGTATACGGAGAAATCCGAGGAAGGTAATACAAATAAGAGTCTTAGCCTTAATAACCTACCCGGGAGCTAACAAACGTGCAAACTAATCCAGAACAAGGGGGAACAAGTGAGTAAGGAAAAGTAAGTAATAGAGACCCAAGTCTCTTCTTGAGAGATAATAAATTACCAATTAAAGAAGAAAAGAAGTGATGTATTTTATATGGAGCCTATCTAGTATTTTCATATTTAGCGACAACATATAATTTAAGTACAATACGAAAACAAGAAGCCCCGGAACCTAGTATGCAGAAGTTATTCGTTATAATATTACACGTGTCAGATATGAGACTCTCCAAAAATTAAAAATCGGTAAAAATCTAACCCGACTCCCGAACTGTCATGGCCAATTGGACAAATGTAAGAACCTTACAAATATGTAATACCAAATGGTCAACCATTAAATTATAAGTCACATCTTATTAGCCGAATTTGACCTTTATGTAAAAGAATATCTACGTCAGTCGATCTCCGGCGCCAATTAACTCTCAGAAGGAAAGGGGAAATGACATCGGGTTAAGAGTACATTAATAATTATAGACACTACCATCCCTTTATTAGTAGTACCAGAAACAAGAAAACAACAAATAGTATATTACAGAAGGACAACATATACAAGAAGCAACTGGAGGAATACTGATGGATGCAGTACTTAACTGAAGCCCACAAAGAAATCCCAATCTTCTTCAGAAAGAAACCCTAAACACAGAGGACGAAGTCAGAAGAAGAACATAGAAGCCCCCCTAGATACCCCCAACGAGACCTCAGGAGGGGGCAGGCATGACGAAGCAGTCCCTACCGGACCGACCCCAAGTGCCAGGGGAATAATGGAGGACAACAACCGACACGGCCAAAGGAATTGACCGAATTACACCTGACAGGAGAAGAGGAATCGATCAACCAGAAAATACTTCCGTAAAGAGCTCTGAGAATTTCAGGGCAGGCTATCCCCACAGAAGGTAACATGAAACACACGAATGGGTAGATCAATGCCCCATGCAAAAGAAAAGAAGAAGATTACAACCCTCGATGGGTCACGGGGCCAATCCAATGGCCATATTACCCCCCCAGAAAACCGCCCAACGAGAAAAATCCCAAAAGAAGCAGAGACTTATACTGGCCCCCTACAAGAGTACTAGGTACTTATAATCCCCAGTCTCACTCCCCCAAGGTGAATCAGCAGGTCTTCCACAAGAGGCCAGCCTACATGTACCGAGCCTAACATGATCATCCCCCCGTCAACTGACACCAACAGAAAAATCAACGGAAGAATCCCCCGCCCGCGCTCAACCTAAAACAACAAAGAACAAGTCACTTTAACGGGGCAAATCTAAACAATACTCAGGTTGCAATAAGGCGCGTAAATGGAAGAAACATCTCAAGTACCTTAAACTCCAAAACCGGAAGTATAGGAGCTTATGGAACCGAAATCGTAGGCCCAATCCAGAAGATTATAACCAGGGCCAGACTCCAAATAGAGACGGGGAAATCTCATGAGGAGGATTCACACCCACGAGACGGAGCAACCAGGAGGCGGATAAAATTATGAGAAAAAGTAGGAAACACACCCACCGAATCCTACAAGAAACAGATGAAAACATATGACAAAAGAGAGGAAGGAATCCACAGAAAAAGCAGGAGTCACCTCGGCAGGAAGGAGATTAAAAGCAACAGCTAACCATTAAAACATGCCCTCTCCATTTTCTTAAAGCAGAGTAAAGTTGAACAAGGACTTCGCCCCAACACCTAGACCCCTACCAAAGTCCCCTCAAGCCAACCGAAGACGGATCAGTCCAACACAATGAAGAGAAACAATAGTCCATGAACGTTTATAAACTTGTTGAGAAGAAATCTTTATACTAGTTTAATGCAAATGCAATCAAAGAATATGTATCGGTTATAATAGCAGTCATTCAAACTAGAGGACGACCCCATAGCCAAACGATGGATACTAACGACAAACAGGAGAAGGAAGAAGAAGTAGTAAGCGGAACAGTTGCTACAGTATTTGGATTAACCGACACAAGGAAAACCAAAATCCAGTTAACAGTGCCACTCTTAAAAGGAGTCTATACTACCCAAAAGACCCAAAACTATAAGAAAAGAAAGAGACCAAGCATCTCAAAAACTCCAAAACCTGATATGACCAAGCAAAACAACACTAAAAAGACACCGAACGAATGAGAGTATAAACGGCAAAACAAGTCGCTATAATACCAAATGGAGAATGTACATGAGATGTTGCCGACGAAACTAGTAAATGGAAAAATCCAGCCCCTGGGCCAACAGTTTACCTTATCGACATAACCCAGAAGCCCGAATAAAATCAAAAACAACTCAAGAAACAAAAAACACCTGCAAAAGAAAACTTGGCAGGAAAACTGACCCCACCACACAACTCAGACAAAAGCCCCAACCCAGACTCAGAGCGAAAGAAAGAAAAACACCAGAAAAAAATTTACGACCCCAAACAAACCAGTCAAATAACAAAAACTCACATACGTCCCCAACCGAAGATGCTCCGATCTATGGGATAACCATAAAATCCAAACAACCCCCCCACCAACGAAAACAACCATCTCTAAGGAACCCAACCAGATCAAGAAGACGAGTCGAAATATAGATACCGAATGAAGGATGTACGGAAAATATGAGGTATGGATATTTGACCCACCACCAAATCCAAAAGTCGAACATCTCCAACCCCAACTAAACTACACACCCAAGTACATGAAAATGACAAAGAAACTATTCCGTGCCTTGAAATTTTTATGGCTCAAAACACAACTTTAAACACCACTTAGAGAAGCAGAAGACAAATTACTTCCAGTAAATTATAAATATGTAAAATTCAGAGGAATCTAGTATCATATTTCAGCCAAATTTCCCCCGAGCTAAATTCCCCCAAAACCAGGCAGAACCAAAAGCCCAACTCCCTATAATAATATAAACCGCAAGAAGTGGTCATGTGTGATATACAACTCCAAAAAATCAACCGATACCCCAAAACCAACAGAGCAAGAATAAGAATTATAATCAGAAAAGAATATACTTAACTCTAGGAGCCAACCACAAGAAACAAAGAAGATGTGCTATCCAAAGACCAATAACATATAAAAGAATACAATCGATCTTTAAACAGCCTAAAGAGGAAAATACCCAAAAAATCAAGCAGCAGCACCACAACCAAGAATAGATAAAAACATAATGTATAGAAAATACAGGTAAAAAAAAACTCCACAATACCCAAAAACTTACAGAAACGATACATCAAGTAGAAACCCCTACCCCTCCCCCTCACCAGAAAATAACTGATCCAAGATGTATCCAATCGAGAAACTGACAAAAAGAATCGAGGAACAGTAAACAAATTAAAAGAACCTAAAGCCAAAGAAACCCCCAAAACAATCACTAAAGCTAATATGCCACAACTGAAACAAGACAAGGTAGCGTAGAAGAATAACTAGCAGGACCCTCTAATGCAACTCACCCCCTCAAGACAGCCCTAAGAATCTCCAACCTGTCAAGAGAACACACAGGACTCCCCAATCTCTAATAAATATTTACTTCACTCTTATCCACACCGTACATCAAAGGAAATCAAACCCCAATCATTTAATACACTCATCCTCCAGAACCCCCCAATGTACTATCATTTAAACAAAAACTGAATCATAATTAACCAAAACTCCATAAAATAAGTAAACAGCACAGCACACACCACACCTTAATATGAGGAAGCGGGAATAAGGAACTACAGTAAAATACAACTGAACAAACTAATCCACAACTAAACCCGAAATCAACAAAACACAAAGCCGGGCATTTCCCAGTACAGGGCCAAAAGCTTCCAAGAGAAACCAAACCCACACCCAACACCAAAACAGAATCCACATATAAACAAACCAATAAGAAATAACCAGGTAAACCCCCCAAAACTAGACAGAATCCTCTCAACCAAACCCCCTAACATCTCCCCCAAAGAACCACCCCCCTGCGCCCCAAAAAAACGAGAGACACCCCAACCCCTAAAGGAAGCCAATAATCTCTACATAAATCCCAACAGAGAACCCCGCCAGCCAACTAAATGGACGTCGCCTTAAACGAAAGGGTTCTCCAACGAAGAAACTGCAGGAGAGGAGAAGACCCTGAATAGACAAAATCAGAATCAGAAAAAATAAAAAAAGGAAAAAACAATAGACTCAATCACGACAAATTATCTATAAATCCTCCAAATACCTAGCCACCCCCAGGCCAAAAACACCAATGAAAAGACAAGGAAAAAAGAAAAAAAAAAGAGGAAAACTAAAAAATAAAACAGAACAGAACACTTCCACAAACGAAACTCCAACAACAGAGATAAGTGAGATTAATTCCCAAGAAAACGGGACCCAATCCAGAAGTACAAGCAATCACTAGACTAGGCCCAAGGGAACAGGAACCATCTCAAGAACACCTCACCCCAACAGAACAAATCCGAGAATATGACCACTACATACTAAAACTCTTATAAAAGAATAACCAACCTCAGGCAAAAATTTGGTAACCGGAACGAGTATTTAGTCAAAAGTACCAAAAAGCTCAAGATAACTCCAAAACCTCCTAATCCAAAACAAGGCACCAACACCCCAATCCAGGTGGACCAAAAATAACGCCAAACAACTGAAGAGACCCCGAATACATCGCTCATAGTAAAGGATCAGCCCGTATACTCTACCTAAGCACCCAAATCCATCAAACCTCCAAAGCCAAAACGAACAGAAACAATACTCCCAAACACCAAGAAGGATATCTCCAAAGTTATCAATCTAAACTCCCCCCCGAATAAACCCAGATCCCCAACCATATTACACCCCATCAGGTCTCCCCCCTTCAGTCAAGGCCACCCCCCGTCCAATAAAGCAGTCTTTAGAAAAAATCTCCTAAAAATCATCTCCGTCGTCCTAATCAACAGGCTTCACAGAACCCCGTAAATCTACCCAATAAAGTTATAATCTAGAACAAAAATACTCAATGCATAATAGAAAAGGTGGAAATCAAATCTCACCAGAAGATAAATGAACAATCCTCACCAAATACAGGACAGTAGGCTTACTGCCCACCAGGAAAATGGTCCATATCAATCCCACATACACATGAACCAACTGTCCAGAAAGAATCTCTGAGTCTGATAAGCAAGGAACCACCTCCTCTAGCAAAGGCACCTACAATAATCACAGCCTGAAAAAAATTCAAACATCTAAATCAAAACTAAAGAAACTCAAGAACAACAACCCTCCCAAAACACTCCCTCAAGAGGACCACAATTTAGCCAAAACTACCAAATAGGTACAAGTCAACACAAATGCCTGAGATATTAACCCAGACCCAATATAACAAGCCTCCCAGGAGAGGTTTCCCCCAAAACAGCAAGGAACAATCGAAACCTGAGAACATCCAAGAACTCGTCTCCTCATAAAATCCGGAAGCTAAAACAGGAAAACTGACCTGAGCTGTCCCCCCCCCAAAAAAAACGGATCAATAGGAACCCAACGGCCCCCCACTAAACAGAGGCGTTACAACGGATCAGAAAGAACGAAACACATTATACCCAATCACCCGAACCGAGCGAGACCACCCCCAAAAAAGTCCTAACTTCGAGATGAACCGAGTCAAATCTCAATCAAAGTAGATTCGTCAATAATTAATGGGGCTAAGACTCAAACTGTAGTTGACTCAGAAACGGGGCGGGCAGCAATCAAAACGGGCACACAATGTTTAGAGAAGCCACCATGCAAGCGAAGTAGCAAGCAAGATCCTGAATCCAATAGGGGGAAGGGATCCAAATCTCGAAGCAGGACAAGAGGAGAAACCGGCCAAAGGACCCTTGAAATCCCCAAAAGGTTAAAGGCTCATAGAGCAACAGATAGAATGAGAGGTATCAAAAAGTAGGAAACAAGCCGAGCGAAACCAGCTACCTGAAAAGACTCAATTGAGAGAACGAAGAGGAAGAGAAAACACCTAAGCGCCAATGAAGGAGGACGACCAAAACCCTAAGAACTCAAGGACTCCACACCCAAAACCGAGAAGATCTCCAGAAAGCACCAAGTATTCCAAAAACCTCGGCAGAGATCAAAATCGAACGAGGAGGAGAATATATTTAGTGCGAAGGAGACAGAAAGGAAAGGGGAAAAAGAGCAACCAAACAGAGACCACACAGAAAATGGAGAAAAGTTATCTGAGGAGGAAATTCAGGGAACAACCGTCTGAAAAAAACACAGGCGAAGAGACGAAGGAACGGGAAACCATGACGGGCACCCGGGCACCAAAAACGCGCACTCAAGTCAGAAGTCAACTCAGGAACAGTTACGCACGGAACCGGAATTTAGGAAGGAGAAACCCGATCGAAAAGACGGAACCCTGGTACCCAGTCAAAGCAGGGTCCCAGAGCTATCCCACAAAGTGGAAAGAGGGACAGCAGGGAACTAAGAGAGTGGACCTACATTAGACACCACAACAGATATCCAGTTAACGGAAAGAAAGTTAACGAGGATCAACGACGAATCTAAGAGGTCAAAGAAGAGAGGTAGAAGAAGCAATCCTAACGAGTCAACGTCAAAGAAACCGCAAGGGATGAATAGGAGGTAGGAGCCAACGGAAACTGAAAGGGGAAAAGCGAAGGAAGGTGATATGCAGAGGATCCAATAGATGAATCGAAGACGCAACACGCGACCTAAGGGAGTCTGACGTCCAAGTCCGGAGATATTCTGTGAGGAGAAATAAGAGCTGAATCAACCAAACAAGCAGAAGAGGCCTAAATAGACACCGCAAGTTCAAATCGGGGGTTCTGTGAGGACTCCTAAGACAAGCCGAAAGAGATCCAATGAGCTACTTCAGCAGAGCGTAGGGAGAAGGGCCAGGAGGATGAAGCCAAGGACCAGTCCAGGGTGGTAGCAGAGAGGCCGCCCCACCCCCTCAAGACCAACAGGAGCAACTCAAACTTCCAATCAACCCCCCCGAAGGGCCCGAACCTTTAGAGACAAACCAGGTCTCCTCAAGAAATCCAACAGGAAGACTCCAAAGGAAAGGAAGGAAGACGTATAAGATCCTCTCCCAAAAACAACGAGAACGAGTCACTCAAACGGAGCAGACGCAATACTGATCCGGGAAAAAAAGAAACCAGGCAAGAACCAAATCCCAATCGCGTGGAGGAAGATGAGGCATCAACCGGGAAACTGTCGCAAGTGAAACGTGAGCCCACAAGAGGACTCACAAAGGGGTGAGGGAGGGATCTAATCAAGGAACCACAAAACATCTAAGAAACCGAAGGTTCAGGACTAGGGTGAGATGAAAAAAGGACAAACAAGTCTTCAACAGGCTCTATACCTCAGGCCCCAGAGGTGATATACGGAGGACGGAGGATAAGACCAACCCACGTACCAGGGAAGAAGGTAGAGATACCGAAAGAATGAGGGCGCCGAAGTGAGAGAAAGGATATCCTAAGGCCAGAAACTGGAGCCCAGGAGTTACACCCGAACAGCCCTCAGGAGCCTCAGCTTGAAACATCAATCGACATTCCCATCCAGAGAACAAAAGAGGAGGGGGCTACGCAATCATAACACCAGGAGGAGGAACCCAAACGAGGAAAGAAGGAGAAGTCTTACACGAACCACCAATTAGTCGGCTCCAAACCCTGAGAGAGATCGGTGCAACGATGAAAGGGGGAGGGAGGGGGTTGTCTGGGTTCAGGCGTCGTCGAACAGGAGATACAAGGTCGAGGCCAGAACTCGCCTCGCAGAACTGAAATGGTTCACCCCAAGGGGGAGGAGTCGGAGGGGGGGGCAGACATACAGAAGAAACAGGCGTTAAGAACGAAGCGGCAACGAGGAGGACGAGACCTCAGAAGGAGGCGACCCCAACGAGCAAGACTGGTCAGGGGGGATATTACGCAAAGGGAACTTCGAGGGGAAGCCTAGGGACCACCCGAAGCGTCAAAAGATGCCATTCCAGCCAGCCAACTCCAAGTCAACTCTCGAATAGCAGAGGAGAGTTCAGCACCTGGGAGGTACCCTCCCCACAACTGGGGGGCAGCGCAGAAGGAAGGAAAAGGAGTCCAAGGAGCAAACATCCGAAGAGGAATTATCAGATATAGAAAAAAAAATCAGAAGCCGAGATGTCCATTCCAGACTAAGGAACCTCCCCCCGAACGTACAGGTACGGGGAATGTACGTGAGAGAATTAAGAGGGATGGTAGGACTCAAAGGACTTGAGGAGAAGAAGGCGTCCGTATCAGAAAGAAGAACAAGCACTACAGGGCCGGAGCCTACGTAATAACTACTCACGCGGGGTAGGGGCACACATGACACTATCTGCGACAGCTCAGCATTGACGGACTAACACGAAACAACAGATGTTATCTAAACGAGGAGGCCTCGAATCAGAACGAACAGAATCGGAGACCTCGATGCAGGAAAAATTAAGCTGACTGGAGGAGGTCAGGAGGAGGAGGATACCAGGCAACCACAAGTGGAAGAGTCCTATCTGGGACTCAAACAGAAACAAAGAACAAAAACCCCACGCCTCCTCAGGAACGGACAGAGGGGAGAAAATTTCTACGGTTGAGATAAAGCATCAAACCGTCCCTCAGGATCAAAGAGGAGGAACCCACGGGAAGAAAACGGACTCCCAAGAGGAACCTCCAGTGAGGTGAAAAATACCTGGACAGAACGGGGGAGGAGATATCTGAAGGAGGGTGAGGAAGATGAACGGACACGAGGAGCTATGGGAGGTACTGGCAAGGAAATGGACTAAACCTATGCAGCAGCTAAAGTTGAATGAAGGAAGTTATCTGGTACAGACGCAGAGGCAGCAATTATGTAGGGCAAAGACAAGCCCTGAGCAACAGAGATCCATCAGGACTGAGATACAGGGATGGCTAAGAGGGGAGGGTGCGGGAAGAATGAGCGGGCTCTATCAGGAACTGTTAGAGGTACAGAGTCTGGAAACCGAAAGACAAGAACGAGACCGAGGGATAAATATAGCAGCCAACATGGTGGGATATATAATGGACCAACTCCGGATGAGGGCATACCGAGAGGATTTGAGCGGGCCCAGTAGTGGACCGGCCTGGACCCAGGAGGAGATAACGGAAGCTATTTGTGAAAAGGAAGAAGGAGAGGAAACTGAGGAGGCCGAGGATTTGGGGGCAAATTTCCTGGGGTTAATGACTTGTTTAATGATTTGGGGTTTAAAGAGCACAAACATTCAGGTCATGGAAGAGAACCACTTGCCCACTCAATGCAGAAGTATATTTCCGAAGATAACTCTCTCGCCACAAACAGTAAGAAGTTGGCAACAGGAGGAAGTGCCGGAACAGCCAGAGGCCACAGAACTTACTTCAACTGATCACGAGGGCAGAACGGAACAGATATCGGACTGGTTTTCTCTTTTCGTCTCGATACTAGATATACTGAGTCGAATCTGCAGGACCTGTGGCCCTTATAAACTCAATGTAATGAAGCCAAATCCTGATACAGTTGCACCAAGAAACCCAACTCTGTACTGTATCAGGAGACAACAAAGACTAACCTGTCGGACCAACCCAGGAGAGGGAGATACAGGGCTGCAAATATGGCTGACCGAGCAGAAGAACATCCGAAGGATCCACAACTCAAACCCAGTCCGAAGTGACCCCTTGAAAGAAAAGAGTTCCACTCGCCGCGCCGGGAATCACCATCAAGGCCAAGATCCGTCCCCCGAAGGTAAGAATGGACCACAAACTAACCTCGGGCAAGCGGGCGAAGGGGTATTGAAATCACAGGACTCAGAACCCCGACAGGACGGAGTCCTGGCATCCTATGGAGGGGATCCAGGAAGGGAGGTGAATATCCCAGGAAACGAACAAGCGCCCACCGCGCCTCAGAAGTCCCAACCAGGAGTAGGAGGAAGAAGCCCCTTTCCACAACAGGACCCACACCAACCACCTAACGAGGAAAGAAGTTCCAGCACTGAACCGCCTCGAGTACCAGTGCCCGAAGACAAGACAAACTCCACCCCAGAAGAAGGTGATATCAAATATCCACCTCAGCAGTACAACAATCCAACCAGCCAAGGAACAGGCCCACTCATAGGCGGCATAGTGGGCGTCACAATCTTGGGAGGTTTGGCGTTGTATGGGTGGAGGAGAGTCTACAGAGCCAAAGGGCGTTCCAACATGAGTTATAGACTGGGCTATACGATAAACAGAGAACTAGCTTTCAGAACCCCAACCTTATAAGGACGGCAACCGGAGACCAGAACTACCCTGACTCTAACCCGACAACTCTAGGAGGACCTCACCAGCGGATAAGGAAGGGGACCCCAGTGGTAATCACACCCAGCAAGACTCCCCCTACCAACCCAGAAGGTTGAAAGGCAGAGGCCAGGCACACATACTGCCAAACAGGGATGGAGAACGGAAACCTAGGACCACGGCGTAACTAGAGACATTGCGCCCCAATCGCGCTTCCAGAAGAAAACACGAACTATGCGGTGCAATTTCTACACGCAATGGTCTAGCCAACTGCTCCTAGAGGCAACTCAAAGGAGCCGCGTGAAACATTAAGGGCAGGGCTAAGGGCAGGGGAGGAGGTGAAGGCATAGTTAATGATGGTTGTCTACGGTTAGGGAGGTTCCACACGGGGGGTGGTTATCAGGGCCTGAAGTTGAAATTAGGAGCTTTGGTTGGGTATGGGGTATACGGATGGAAGTTGCAGGTTTAGGTTTAAGGATGAGGGTTGCGGGTTTAGGGTTTAGGGTTTAGTGTTATGGCTCAAGTCTTAGGTTTCACGTTTTAGTTTTCAGGGGGGATGGTTTAGGGTGTAGGTTTAGGGCTTAGGTGTTAGGGGGTTCAGGTTTTTAGGGTTTACGCTTTAGAGTTCAGGGTTTAGGGTCCAGGGTTGAGGTTTCAGTGTTCAGGGTTTGGGATTCTTGGGTATCTTGCTTGGGGTTTAGGGTTTAGTTTTACGGTTTAGGGGTTTATTGTTCGGGGTTTAGGGTTTAGGGCTCAGGTTTTAGGGTTTAGGGTTGGGGGTTCAGGGCTCAGTGTTCAGGGTTTAGGCTTTAGGGTTGAGTGTTTAGGGTTCACGGTTTGTGGTTTAGTCTTTAGGGTTTATTGTTTAGGTTTAGGCTTAGGGTTTAGGGTTCAGGGTTTGGTGTTTAAGGTTCAGGGTTTAGGGTTCTTGGTTTAGTGTTTAGGGTTTAGGGTTCAGGTTTAGGGTTCAGGTTTATGGTTCAGTTTTAGGGTTAGGTCTAGGTTTCATGGTTTCGCTTTAGGCTTCTCGGTTCAAGGTTACTGTTTCGGGTTTAGGGTTTAGAGGGTCAGGTTCTTGGAGGAGTGTTTAGGGTTTACGGTTTAGGGTTTAGGGTTTAGGTTTAGGGGTCAGGTTCATGGTTCAGGGTTTAGACTTCAGTTTTCACGTTTATGGTTTAGGATTAGGTTTAGGGGTTAGGTTTAGGTTTAGGTTTAAATTTTTGTGTTTAGGATTTATGTCACGAGTTTCTTTGAATTGGGATTTTATCTCCGAAGCCAGTTTTTTCAGGAGTTCATGTAATGGTGTAGAGGTTAGTCCCCGCTCTTAGGGATCTCACTTCCATCCATTAGGCTCCAATTTCTGCAGTATACGTGCCTCAGGGTATAGGGCTTCAGGTTTGACGGTTTACGCTCATTGCTCACCATTCGTGGTCTGGGGATTGAGCTGTCAGTCTTTATGGATTCGCGTTGTTGCTGTAGTTGTTTGGATCTAGAATTTATGCTTTAACACCTAGTGGGTTAGTGTTCACGCTCAGTTTTTATCCTTAAGAGTTCAGTAGTTTTTTTGCAGGGATTACTTTTCATGTACATGGGAACCTTCTTATCACTTCTGCCCCTTAGTCGGGTATATAACATTCTGATCGAATCACAAAGTAAAAACTAACTAGCAATACTGTAAGTCAAGGATCGTGTGACTGTACATATTGATATATTTGCTCATGAATGATAAATAATTTAGGTATTTGTTATGGAGATTATATCTAGAGATCTCTAGCAGCTCAGATAACATTTCTAATATTCTAAAAAATTATGAGACAATAAAAGGACAAAACAGGGTTCCGCGGATTTCTCCACAGCAGTTCTAGAACAAATCCTGGAGGAGCCCTTTCATCAAGGGTTTACAAATATATATACCTCCTCCTCTAGGAGAGTTCCTTATTATTTACAGGATTTTAGTATACTTCGGCTTCATCACAGCCTGGATCTGCCTTTGAACGGGACTCCTGCTTTTATTCAATAGGAGCATTCTGTCAACCAGCCGGATCTAGTAAAACACTGTTAGCTTCAATGATTTATTATGTACAAATATAATAATATGTCGGCACCATGACGGGGCTTAACTGTTTTTTCCTTCCATTTCTCTTCAGGTCATGTGCTGTAGAAAATGAAATTCCTGCTTTATTATTAATTTGGCGCACCTGATAAAGTATACATAATGGGGAAAAGAATATTCATCAAGATTATCCTATAAATACAGGAATTTCAGATATTGTTCTCGCTAAATATCGTAAAGGGATATCTCGGGGGCAGATAAATGAATAGTGCACTTTTCCTGTTATCATTCTTCCCGCCTATACGGCTCTATACATATTATATATATGTTTATATATATGGAACCCCCCTCTCCGTCTATGCTCCTACATCGAGAGCAATTTACATGCGACAGGGGGTGTTTTCAGAATCCGTTCACCGCATCCGTTCCTGGGAAATCCTTGTGCATTTACGGTGTGGATAGTTACGCGATCCTTTACTGCTGATATGCGCCACTCATTGAATTAACCTGTTAAAGCTTCCACATAACATAAAGGCAAGATGTCTCACGTCAGAAAACTCTTATGCACATCATAATATTAAGTGCTTCCCACTGAACAAATCCAGGGGCGCAAGAGAAATGAATCGTCCAAATAAAAATACAACATAATCCTATATCTTTGATGTCTGCCGTCCTGCAAAGGAAAGAAAAAAACATATGCGGCCTAGATAGGCACCACTAACAGATAAATACGAATTCAACGTAGTAATTAATGCATCATTGAGGAAGACACAGAGTGAAAATGTGCTCAGTCATCAACCTTTCTTGATACAAGCAAGTGACAAGGAATGCTGCGGCTGAAGTGACTATATAGTGAGAAGTACAGTTGAATACACGAGGTGCATAGTAGCACATTGGCAGTGCGGTATCTGACACTCCCCTGCTAAAGGGTTGGGTAGATATATCCGCAAATTGTCTGCTCCTTCTCTCTTAATATCCTCTGGAGCTCCTTAGGAAGAAATAGGATGTGCCCTTTAGTCCAGAGAAGTCCTCTTCCTCCTTGTTTCAACTTAAGTTGAGGACCGGCCTAATAAAGTAGTGACCTTGGGAGTTCGGCACCTGTATCCCATAGTATGTGTCTCTTAATTGATCATATAAATGATGTGCCTCCAGCGTCCCTGTCTTCACACAGATAGATGACGCTGTCATTTGCCCCCGAAGTCAGCTTAACTAATAGGACAGGTGACAGCGACATGCTCCTTATCGTATATGAAATCATCTTTGACTATATAGCTCAGCTACTTCTCTAAGGAAGAGACAGAGGCGAACTAACAAAAAAAACGAAGGATAACCTGGGGGCATTTCAGGTGTCGTTCACACGATTGCGTGTTGTGTCCTGTAATGCCTCAAACAATGACTGGATGAAGAGGCATACAAATGAAATCATAAATATGCGAAAGAAATTATAATGATGTAACAGATATTTCTGGAGCCATATGAGAGACATTCCCTATTACATATCGTTGTATTAATGCATCCAATGTGACAATGCTTATAATACGTGTCTGCTCCCTCATCTCTTTCCTCATCTGCTTTAACACAGAGTAGAAAAAATACAAATGAAGAGGAATGGAAGATTACAGTGCCGAATGCAAACAAATGAAGTAAAAAATCGTTCTTGATGTCACTAAAACGGAGATTAAAAAGAAAGTCACATGTCCCCTCTAATATCAACCTGGAGAGAAAAGATAAGATATATGGAGATTGAACAGCACAGAGCCAGAACGGAAGTGAAAACAAAAACAGCTAGTGTGAGACACATGAAAGAGGGCATATAATAATTCCACTGATAACCCCTCATAGAAATCCTTCCTGAATTCTCTTGATTCGTACCTTTAAAGACACCAGAATTCTCCTCATTAGAAGCTAATAGAAGGCGACCAGTGAGTTTCCTCTTGGTAGACATGATACATACTCCTGATAATCTTCAGGAAAATAGACGCCAAAGAAGAGAAAAAGACACCTGTCGTCTTGACAAGAATAAATTATATAGACATTTAGCTTTGTATACCAGACTCTGATTCCACGAGATGTATTGGGGTTAAGTGATGAGGCATCCATATAGCTATATAGGTTTGCAACATTCCGAAGATACCCAGAACACCTACAAGATGGGGGCTCTTTACTTATACTTCTACGTACCACAGGAACGGCTCTATAACCAGCATATTAAAGTAAAACTAAAAGAAGGGACTTACTCAAGGGAAGATACCATGTTACGATACGGGACACAGTTGAAATGTGATGTAGATAGGAAGATAAGAAAAAAACGGGGACTAATTGTTCAGTTTACAAAGGGGTTTTTGGACTTACGATCCCCCCTCAGCGAGAGAGAATCCCCCCTATCATTACAACATAGCATCCAATAATAATCAGTTACTGTGTTGGAAGAGTATGCCGAGATATTTTCTCACATGTATTTCTCCACGCCTCATATACAATCCTTAAAACGAGGGTTACTGATACCGTCGAATGTTTTTCCATATTCGGATACTTTCAGAAGCACATAAAGATATGCTATGACGCCTAAAACAAGGAGTCCATAAGATACAGAAGGGACAACTGCCAATGAGATGCCTACTAATAACGGTAATACTCCCAGTGTGAATGCAACCAACATCCATAAAAGGAGAATCAGACGATATACTTCAATCCCCAGTAGCCACTACTTACTCCCCTTATTATGCGGATGGTATCTATCCCTTCGTACGGATTTCTATGCCTTATATGATAAGGACGAGGCAGAACGATGTAGAATTTCTCGACATGTGTGTACTAGTTTTGCCGCTGTGATCTTAGGTATTGGATGGCACACTGAATTGATGACTTCGTGGTATTGCTTGAGGATTATAGTACCGATTCCCCCGAATGCTTTCTGATGATTCCGGATTTTGAGTATTGGGATACTTACTAAGATTCCTTCCTTCAGTCGCCGCTGTAGCGTATGGATGTTCCGAAATTCCCCCTTGGAGGTTCAGGAGATATTTTGCTCGACTTCTTACTTTGGTGCTAAATGTCTTATTCCTCATTGATAATGTTTCTTGGACAGGCACACTTAATTCTCTATGATATTTTATGATAATGCTGATTCCGGTAGTTAGAACCCTCTGTTTTATGTATGTAATCTTTTGAAGTATCCATTGTAGAATGTCCATATTATGTGTAATCATAACGATTTGTATATTTCGTATGTTGTGTACAAAGGAATTACGCGGTCCTACATCCCCCGATAATCCTCTCTTTGAGCTTTCACCCATTATTGCTTCATTATTTGTGAGTCCTTGTATAGTATGCGCCCGGCAGCGCTTATCTAAAATATTCCTAGTATCTGTGAGACTTCGTTTCTGAAAATCCTCTAACAAAGACTCTTTACAGGAACTGTCAATACTGCCTCTATCCTTGAGGATATATGTATAATCCCTTCCGAGAGCAGATCCTGAAGCCTATAGTAATTTCAAGTGTTTCTGAACATGTGTCAATAATAGCCTAGTATTCCTGAGGCGCACAGTGCCATTAGTGTTATTGGTGGTTGTTATATGTCTATGGCCTGATCCCTCCAAGGACAAATTATGAGCAGGATTATCGTACATCCTGGAAGACGACGTTTCCATGTTTTATAGGTATAATAAAATCTTTCCTTCCATAATGAGGAGGGAATAACTTTTCTCTATTGATAGGGGACATCTGATACTTACGATGCCGTTATCGTACGCAAACCATAATAATACAGAGGTTATCTTAGAAATTCTTTCAAAATTCAGGTACTTTTAAATTATATAAAGGATTTTTATATTATTCTTTTCGTTGTTATACGGACTATCCGAGATACGCCTCCTCTATTCATGTTGTCATTTTCCTTCTGAAATAACATCCCTTTCTGAATGAATAATATAGGTATTATATAAAATACAACAAAGCTATTTTATAGAAAACACACGGCCCTACTGTAACATGACACACCACATTTGTACAGTAGGATGAACGAAAAATTGTTCCATAACTAGGACTCTTATAGTTACCCATAGATTTCTGTAATCTCATCCATCTAGGACATGGGAAGAAACAAGGAATGTACGTGCCCTTTTCCAATTCCTTTCGTTTTTTATTCCATTAATGTCATGGAAACATTGGACAGTACTACCAACTGCACAACTAAATTTAGCATTCTCCACATTAATATTTTAAAGAATATGGAGTGCTTCATACATCTTCTCTTTCATTAATACTTCATCCCTTTTCAAGAGAAGCATCGATTTCACATATTTACAGGTTTATCATAAGGCCGTTAATCTTAGACTCTCAGGTGTGGACTTAAAGGATAACACACGACAGTTATACATTCAAAGGGACTCTCATAAAGAGATATTCAGAGAATTTGTGAAACATACAACTCACGATCAGACGTGCAATGTTGAGGATAAAGGCATCATTTAGAACACTTTTGCAAATGCGCCTCTTAGTTACAACTAAAATAAACTAGATGTTAGGAGTTTTCACGAAAGGAGGTATGAGGATATGGAAGAAAAAAAGGAAAGATTGAGGGGAACGGATTTCCATGCATATTACATTATAGTTGCCTAATTGTAACTATCTAATAAGCCGAAAGATGAGATTGTAACTGCAAGTGCTCAGCGATTCTGTTATCTGGCATGTCTAAGGTATAAATGGACAGAATGATTCTGAATAAAAAAAGAAACAGAGAGGAAATTATAACTGAAAGGCCTAGGGCTCATGGATATACTGCGAATCCATATTTCATGACATCGTTTTAAAGAAAATTTATGGGTACTCAAATCCCCAATGAATTGGTTCAAAACATAAATGCCTATTCCGTCAGGATTACGCGAATTTATCTTCCTAATAGTGAATTTAGATCCTCCTTACTAGTGCCTGACTCCGATGATCTTCATAAACTTCATGAAATAATAGCCTGCCGCCGCGATTCCTATGATAAAAACTGAGAGAATCATCGTGGCACTCCCTCTTGATGTCATAAGTACAAGAAGAACTAGGAGTAAGGAGACTAAAAGGAAGAGTATCTTATGCTTCTGAATATAGTGTATTTATTTGCCGAAGCTTCCTTTTTTTCTAACTGAAGGAATGTGTGTTACTGGAACACCATCCAGCCAACGCACTAATATTTTCTCAAATTTTGAATCAACCCTTTCCAAGAATTCCATGATCCCGCAGGGCAGGATACTCTTCACAGGTTCGCAGTCATATGACAGAATCTCAGGGGATCCTCGACATTGTTCATTTGATTCGCTTAAAGAACAATTAGAGCAGTCACTTTCGTTATGTGCAGGAGGCAGTGTGTTATAGGACTCTAGTGAATAAGAGGATGTACTGTACTCATAGTCATAATTGAGATAGCTAATATGTTCTTTAGATCCATTATGATATTTCCGTGTATTCTTTTTACTACAACCTTTATCTCTCCTGTCATACTCTTCAGTGTATAGAAACTCTTCTGCAGAATGATGATAACACTCACAGGCCCCTATATTCTCTTTCTGCATTAATAATGTTCTGGCCCTTCTCTGTTGTGGTACAGTATTAACCTTCTTATTCTCGGAGCAAGATCTATGATATATGCAAAAAGAAAGAATGTTCCAGGGGTGAGATCTATTAAGACGACTACAGTATAGTTAAACCTCATGACGAAAGAATTGTTGAACTCTCAATATTAAGACATATAGTAATTGGAACACCTAGTATTCCTCATGAACCATAAGTTATTAGTATGCATACTTCATCTAGAAATTCCTCTGGCCATACTGAGAGCATATAGATAAGAAACCTCCTGAATTACAGCATTGTATCCTGGGGCTGTATCTTTCATGTATCTACTTGAAAGTAGTATCTCCATATTAGGAACTAGATAATATATCCAGGTGAGTCCTCATTTAACAGAGTATATACAGCATGTGCAATTGAGTCGGAATGTAACGTATAATATATTTGCCTTCTCTATTGCTTATAAAAATATTTCGGAAAGGTACGTATAATCTCCTGAAGAAATATGGGAAAAGAGAAGAAAAAAAACGGGAAAAATAAAAGAAAGAAAAGAAGAAAGGAAAAAACAGAAAAGAAAAAGAATGAAAAAGAAAAAGGGAGAAAAAAAAAGAAAAAAAAAAAAAGTAAAAATGTAAAAAACAAAAAAAGAAAAAGGAGAAAAAGATGAAAAATATATTCCACTTTGAAAAAATACCGCCACGTTACATTGTCATGATTTTTTCCTTCACCAAAACACAGCGTATTCCAAACGTTCGAAAATGAGCAGAATATGACTAAACCGAGTTACACACTTTACACATTTTTTTTTAAGTGTTCTTTAAATGGTACCAAAAAATTGGAACAGAATACTATACAACAACTTCTTCACTTTTTTACATTTCACGAAATAGTTTTGTTCTTTTTGCAGGGGAGCCTGAAAGAAAAATTCCCATCGGCATGATTCAGGGAAACAGATAACACCAGGAAAGAAAAACTTAGGAAACCGAAAAGTTCATATATTCTTCAGAATCCTACTTTCACCGAAGCAGATGTATAATGGCTTGACTTTACCTATTCTGGTAATGGAACTGGAAATATCTTGTTTAATCCCTCATTTTATGATACCAATTTGAAAAGTCTTACGGAAGTTGAAGGGTAAAAGGATGACGATGGAAATGAGGATAAACGGACTCTTACTAAGTAAAAAGAACATAAAAAAAATGTTGTTGTTCAGAGGAGGGGACAAGTGAAGATTGCTTTTTGCGCTGCATCACTAGAATCATGCACACATGAAAATGAAGGGGACAATTTATGAACAGAGTCCGGTTAAACGGAATTTCAAAATAAGAAACGCTAAAGGGCGTAAAGATGGTACGTACACGGATGTGTAGATTCTGACGACTTGTAAAGCAAGAAAAAAAGAAAAGAAAAAAAACAAGTGTAGCAACTCAATATGAAATGGTTCGTTTATTAGAAGGTAACCCCCGTGCAACATTTATTTACCCATCACAGGTAAGGAGAAAGAAAGCATCAGTGACTCAACCAATCAGGAAAGGAGAACATATTAATCCTCTCAAAACAGTGACCCCGAAAGGGCAGAATCATCTTTTTTCATTCTTTAAAATTCTTTCTGTTCATCGGCATTTTGATGAATTCATGACAATGTGTCTATGCATGCGACTTCTATGGACACTTAAGATGAGTTAACTAATCCAGGGCGAAATAAAAAAAAAAGACGACACACGAGTTACAGAAGTGTATTTATTTGCTGAACGCTACTTCGTTCTTGAGGCTTTCACATAAGGGCGTCTCCAGAAAGTGGACATGCATCGCTATTTTTTAGAACTTCCTCTCTAGTTCCAAATGCATCCTATATGAATAACGTTAACATAAGAAATGGCTTTCTATATGTGAAGGGACCATCCGTGTTTGTTCGCAAAATATTATGCGGCCTGTCTTATGGTCACACCTGTATAGAAGTAAACATCAGGCATATTGGGAATCATGTGTTCGGCATTACGGGAGGGATACCATTACCAATGCACGGAAGCTACATCTTTGGCAGGTGCTGTAAAGATGCCCCTTTCGCCTTCACCTGTTTAGAGCGACACTCTTCTATTCGGCAGGGACGTCACAGACATCTGATTAAATCGTAGTAGAGAAAAAGCTAACTGGAATAGCACCATCATAATAAAAAAAAAAAAAGAAAAATTTGAAGGTTTATTAATTTTACTTGTATACATCATAATCCTATGTGGCTAAGATGTCCCAATTATGGAAGCGAACAGAAGGTGACTCAATTGAAAGCTTTCTCTTGTGTGCGGAACACAGTATTCACACCCAATTAACACTACATCCATCGATTATTTATTAACCCTCTTTAGCAGTCATTATGCATATAAATATGTATACGTCCTCTTTCTTCTATTCGCTTATCCGTTGGAGGTTATACCAATTTGGAATCCTTTTACTTCTCCCCACAGGAGGAGGAGAATGATCAGGATAAACGTGAGGAAAGGCATGGACACATACCAGCATGAGAGCATAAAGGCATTAGAACAGAAAGAAATCCGCAAATTTCCTCGTCTGATTGGCAGATCCCATCTGTGCTCACCAGCCGAGTGAAATATGCGCCCCTCTCAGAGTGCCAGGAGAAAATAAGGTCGCAATAAACTGGACATTTAAAAGGATAACACGTCATGATGAGTTAATCAATGCATAATTAAAAATAGCTCCACATTTTAACAGACCCCTTCCAGTATGTTAATCAAAGAAATACATTTTCATTTACATGAGGAGGCCCCTCATTTGTTAAACCCTTGTGTTCATTTTATCCCCGTTTTCTTACTAAAACTGAAATGTGATTATGGCTGATGGCCACACTCATCTGCTAGAAGTGTAAGGACTTAGAAATCCCACTCCCTTACACAAAGCTTTATTCGCAGGAGTATACTGAAAATTCATGTATACTTATATGCACTTTTTGGCCTCTGTTTTCTTTTTCTTTTTTTGTGGCTCATGGGGGTACACATGTGTCTTCACAAATGAATTGGAAGTTCGGGCTCTTCTCTCGCAATTAACATTATTCGTGAGGGGAGGACGTGAAAAGATCCCGAAAAATGAAGCTTATCTTCATTGGGTCAGATATCACAGCAATTGGAAACATTTCACCACATGTGTTATAATGCCGTCTCTCAAGGGAAATTAGCATTATTCTTTCATTTGAACAGCACTCCGGATACATAGAAATGGAAAGGCAGTCACAGGGAGAAGTTTTTGCTGCTGACGCACTACCTAGATCACAACAAGCGCTCAGAGTCATGAGCGCAGGCGTAGCCAGCTCCCCAGTCAATACCTAAGCTAAAGGGAGATTTATCTTTGACGCCTCTCAATCACTTTTTCTGCTAGTAAGAAGTGCTAAGGTTAAAAAAAAAATAAAATAATTACCCCTCTGCGCAATTTTTATAGCACGGGATTTATATCTAATTACAACTCGCCAATTGTATAGGATGCAATACAGTCGCGCGAAAGGGACCTCTCATTCTTTTCCAAAACGAGACTAAATTGTAAATGCCTGAATTATAAATCGGGTTATCAAGGAAAAGGAATTTTTCTCTTTTCTAATTTTCTATACTTAACACGTGTGTAGGATGTAAGCCCTTTAGCGTCATCTCACTCAACTGTGTATGATAAATTTGAATGCCTCATCTTGAAGTTAACAAACTGGGTCAAGAGAAGAAATTCATTTTTATCTTCAACTTAAATACTACACTAAATATGGGGCTACACCGAGTTTTTCGACCTCCCCTAATTTGGGTGTAAATCCATCTCCATTTTGCATTACCCCTTTTGCTACACCTCCTTCAGAGAATTAACTCATTTGTCATACTGTATATAATAATAAAGGGGAAAATGTTGGCATAATTTCATCAATCTACCTCTGCATATTGGTATTTAAATTTTTCGTCTTATCGTTTTTTCGTTACCCCCCAGGGGTCGTAATTTTCACCCCTTGGAACCCTCAGTTGTAGTTTTCCATAATGAGGAGTTCCTCTATGTTTCCCTTTCTTCGGCTACCTGTTATGGCTGCTTTCAATTTTCCTCATGGAGCACCAGCTCCTTTTATGCGTTAATAAAGGCAAATGTATTAATTTATGCTCACGTGACCACACCACAATGTGTATTACCCAGGTGTAAGGTTAAAGTGATTATCTGAGCGCATGTCTACTAAGTTGGGCTCCTCTTAGACGCTTCATAATAAAGAGCAGTGGTTTTCATACATATATGCCCCTCATTGTACGCGAAATTGCTACCGCGAGGTTAATTTCTCAGAAGAAATTAAAGTAATATGAATGCCACCACGGGGTTACGCACATCTTCACATCAACTAGGGGAACGGAAGGGGGCAAGAGATTTCCAACATCCTGCTTGTACTAACTGTCTGAAGATGACTCTTCCAGTCTTCCCTTTGCTTCCCCCTCTGGTAAGTACGAACTCTTATATATGTATGTTTACTTCCGTTTCTGCTAATTAGTGAACACATGCTGCACATTCTATCTACGCCTATCACTCCGTGCGATGGCACTAACCACCTTTACGGCAATATTTTCGGTTGCTTCCTCACTATATTCTACCATATGACTCCCTTATCAGTCGCGTACTCTTCCCCCAATAAAGCTTCAAAACTAACACAAGCAGCTAAGCTCAGAAGTCACGACCGACGCCATGGGAGTAGACGAAATTTAAGCGCGTCCATCGCAAGCTTAAAAAGATGCTTCACAAAGGATAGTACTGGAGCCTGTGAACCTCTCATTCCATCTGTTCGTGGATGGTAGAAGGTTACGCAACATATATCCTATCACCGGAATACATCACTTAATACGACTGTCTCCATTTCGCCACCATCTATATAGCGGCGTACCAAGCATGTCACGTATCTCCAGATATGAGTACTATACATACGTCTGTACTTTCCTGCTATTTCCACTGCAAATCATGAATACTAAATAAGAAACAGTGCTATTCAAATAGAGGCTTTACCAACACAACAATACCCTTAACATTAGGGTACATCTCGAAGAGACATACTCTTCCATAACAGACTACTTCGAATATAATAATATTCATTATGGCATATCCAGCAGCACATAATCGTGGCCCTTAGTATGATAACACTGGAGGTGATGAAGATATCAGAACTAATACGACGTTTACATAACAATACCATTGCAATCTCCAGATTCCTAATCATTGAGAATCCAGACACGTCAGTACTGTTTAGACAAAAATTCTTGAATATCCATGCACTTCATATAACAGTATTACACATGAATCTGGGGGATGCATTAGCGTTAGAAACGCACACACAGGTGTTCTGCAAAGAAAACTACCCCTGGGGGCTTCCACTCTTGATCTAACGAGACGATAAGCATGTCAGTACTTTGCACATATGAGTAGTGCGGACACCTCAATAGGCTTCCTACAATAACACTCCAGTAAAATCCTTACCCTTGACGCAATTTTCCTGTCCAATTAACAGTTCTATCCATGTAACATTGCTATTCACCTAATAGTACCCGATGGATCTTATCACTTATAGAACAGTAATACACCAGGCATAAAGATACCATTTCCCACATGGGTATATTCGTCCTGTTTCTTAATGTTACGACATCCGTATGGTTATGATATTTACACTTCACATATTTGGGCATTTTCATAGATAGCCGAAAAAAGAGAATATCTTCATAATGACGCCACAGTAAAAAAGAAACATAAACACGACGGTAAATATGTTAAGGAATAGAGCATTCTAATAAAAAAGAATGACATACAATACAACATATGCAGAAGGTTGCAACCGAAAAATCCCTTCACAATGATGCGGCCTGAAAAGACCTTTTAACAATAATCAAGGCAAAGGAACATCTTCAAAGAGGCGTGGCAAACAAACATCGTGAAGATACAAGGAGAAGAAAGCATCTTCATAAACAAAATAAAACACAAAAAAGTATCTTAACATTGCCTCGGAAAAAGGGCATCGTCATAGAGAAAACCACAGACGAAAGGAGATCTTCAAAATGCCGCAAAAAAGGTACATCATCGTAGAAAATATGAAAAACAGAGAGAAATCTTTACGATGCCGCGAGAGGCAGCTGTATCCCTATAAATGAAATGACACAGAACAATATATTCATGCTGTCGCCGGAAAATAACATGATAAACAATGCCGCGTAGAAGAAATATCTTCATAAAGAGAAGGGACTCATAGAAATTTTTTTTCGCGGTAACATCGTAAAAGGAAGTAACATCTTTATAAAAAAGCAAAAAAAAAAAAATATGATAAATATAAAGCCATAAGAAGAATCTTGGTAAAAGAAATGCCACACCAGAGAGAATTCTCATGACATGACACCAGAAACCTCATCAGGGCACCCGAACAAAGGACTATCGTCAGAAAAGAAATGCAGCACAAACAAGAATTCTGATATTGACACGGCAAAGGTAGCCATCTCTATAAGAATGGAGAGCAAAAGAATACATTAAAAGTACCAAGCGGTAAAATGAATCTTGGTAAAAGACATGCCCCACAAGGGAAGATACACCTCACAATGACGCACCATAGAAGGAAAGGACTTCATAAAAATGGAACAGGAAATATTATCCTCAAAGAAATACCACACAAAGAAACATCTTTATATTGACGCAACAGGAAGGATGTAGCTATGGAAAAATGTAACAGAAACGAGCATTATTATAGTGACATGCCAGATATAAGCATCGTTAAAAAAATTCCACACAGAGGAAAAGCATCACAGTGACGTGATACGAGAACAACACAATGACCAAGAGGAAGATCATCATAGAAATGGAGGAAAAAAAAGCAACATCATGTAAAAACTACACAAAAAAAATCGTGACAAAAATGCAGCAGATAAAGGCATCTTCATAAAGATGCCAGGGAAAGCAGTATCGTCATAAGCATGGTGCGAAAAATGGCATCATAAACCGACCCTCCCAAAAAATTCCGTCAACGGAATGTCGCACAGAGGTGTATTCTCATGAAAAAATTAAATAGAGAAATATATATAATGAAGCGAAAGGAAACAGCACGTGTGCGACGGATATAACAGATGAGAGGACCCCCCCAAGAATTGATCAGCAAGGAAGGGCCTGCGCTAAAAATTACGCCACATGACACGACGTTCGCAAAATGAGGCCAAATGAACACGCATATATAGCAAAGAGTCGCCATGAAAAGATACGCTCATAAAAGTGCAGAAACATGATAAAGCACACTCATGGGGAGGATACGACACCAAGGCGCATCCACGGGCACTATGCAACATGACGACTCATACGCGGAAGAGTTCGGATATGAATTAACACACTTATAAAAGTGCAGAAACATGAAAAAGCATACACAGGAAAAATGCAACATGGGAGGGGATACTGGTGAGAATATGGAAACATCAAAGAAGACACTCACAAAAAGGATGGGGGATGAGAAGGCATTAACAAAGATAATGTAACTATAAAAGAAGCCATATAAACACGTGTGTCCACCAGTTCATGCTCTGTCAGTTGCATCCGAATATTCTTATCTTATTGCACTCAGACGGATCTTTACAAATACGCATGAACACATCTAAACGCTATAACAGTTTTCTCAATCGTATGCAACATGCAATTAAAGGCGAAACTGTAATTGAAAATTTTATTATAGTGGTCCAAATTCAATAATCTATTACTCCCTTTATATATGCATAGGTAAAACACGTCATGAAAAACCATGTAATCTTAAGGAGCATATTTCTATGGCAAATGAATAATTCTCTAATCTGAATATGGATATAATCATGACTATGTTTTCCTTCTGAGTAAAAATCTGTACTACCGATATTATTTTGTCCTTCCCCGCCTTGTTCCTTTGGGCAGACCCCCATTTTTATATGACTCCTGATTACCTTTATATTTTATCAAGTTGAATTTTTTTATTTCTATGGCAGCTAAATTAATCGCATATATAAAAAGGAAAGAAGATACATATATATGTGTATATCCATGAGTATATATATGTCCCATGGTAGGATATAAACAGGTGAAGAACACATAGGCTGTTATCGATAGATCATAGCAATGTATAGAGGTATGTAAATTACGTGTATTCCTTCAGCCAACAGGTCTCTTAGTTGTCTTGAAATCGATGCACCCTCAGTTTACACCGAGAATGTGAGTTCCCTTAGAGCTTCTAAAAGAGAAATGCTGTAGGTTCTTCTTTAATTTACTATAATTAACGATATGCAAAATGGAAAACGTCGTTATACATACACGCATATCTGTTTTTCCCAGTGTCTTTTCATAGATGTCCACAAATTCTATAGGTGTCAAATAAATGTGAGGACCTTGGGAACGCATTATAAAATTGCAATGTTTCATTACTCTCCTATCCAAAAGAGACTCTTAAAATATAAATTACGTAATGCAAAAGCATCGTAGAAACCATAATTACCATAAGGAAAGAGTGCCATGATAATAATAAATATTACATGAAAAATTCTTTCTATACACATATGCAACGGTATGCATGCATACAATTATATAAAATGGATATATTTCGTAAATAGCTAGGTCTCCCATTACGTGGTCAGTGCTGCAGGCAATGCAACAAAGATGTGATAATATATACTTAGGACCTTTACAACGGAAAACATAAAAAGAAAGTACTTCTAAAGGCAGTTACAATAAAACAACTAATTCAAAATTTAAATAATGTGTAGCAATATATTAGATTTTTCAGGAATCCGTTCGAGGATATTCTTAGTCCTTTGTGTTATCCAGTTTTTCTCTGTCTCAGTTCATATATGATGAGAGGTAGGCACATAGTATTTCTGTTCTATGACCCTTAATCATACATCCATTTATGTACTATATAATATAAAATAAAAACGTGCATATAAAGGGGCCTATCTAATACACATCTTATAAATAGAA